AAGAGGGAAATTAATAACTATCATTTATTTGCACAAAATAGAAAACCATAAACTTTGTATATATGTAACCAATTAATTGTTACTGACAAAATTCATGTGTATGAAACTTCAGTAATACAATTAATGGCACCACAGAAATGTTCTCTCACCAGACTAAACAATAAATCATCTAAGTAATAACAAATAATAAGATAAAACATTAAAATGTTTAATGTGGATTAACAATATGGATTCATTTTGTTCTTCTAGGTACTGTTTAATAGTTGAAGTGTACCTTGTGCCACAGCGGTCATTGCTGGAGTTGCGATGATGATGATGATCAAAATCATCTTCTGTTTGGACAGAATCTGATTATTTTGCATGTGTAGTGTACTATCAAACGTGTGAATTATCTACATAATGAATCAATAGAAACTGTTCTTACTTTGGAAAATAATGCAACAACTATTGACATACTAGACATTTTTTCCTTTTTAACTAATGTCGCCATGACAACAGTCACTCACCATATTTAAATTAAGATGTCTTCTTACTCTCTGGCATTCACCACTGGCACCTGGATGGTATATTTCTGGTCTTTTTTCCCTTTCATGAAGAAAATCGAGGAAGACATTATTTTCCTTCATCACAACCAGAGCACTAGACTCACTGTAAATATTAAATAATTTGGTACACTATATTACTCTGTTTGTGTCGGGGGACCCGATCCTTGGGGTGGACCAATTTTTTGTGTGTGGGGTTTAAAAGCTACCAAGGCACGGTGTTTAGAAAAAATGCATCTCAGCTGTTCTGATGCTCCTGACACATACGGGATCACTATGGGTTTTTGCTTAAGCAGCAGTTGTCCTTCTCTCCCGGATTGGCTAGAGCTTTCTTTAGGTGCCTTACCAGCTTTGACAAATGTCCACGTGGGATAACAACATTTACTCAGGGCCTTCTTGATGTGATGTTCTTCTGCCTCCCTGGCCGCTGTGTCTGTGGGGATGGTGTTGGCTCTATGTTGTAGCGTCCTGATGACACCCACTTCATGCTCCAGTGGATGATGAGAGTCAAACCTTAAATACTGATCCGTATGCGTAGGTTTACGGTACACATCAGCTTTTAGATGTCCCCCATTACTGATGGAAATCTCACAGTCTAAGAAGGCTAACCTGCCA